AAAAAATAAGAACCAAGATATATCATGTAAAGGTACAAATTCCCAATGATGAATGTCATCATATTGTATACTTAAAATGTACTAATAAAACGTAATGAAAAAAATTTCTTTCCTGAAAGGTCTTATTTAGTTGATCTCTCTAAGAGTAAGGAAAAATCTTTAAAACACCAAAATCCAGAATCCAATGAAAGAATCTGTGAATGCCTAGTACATATCCTGATGAAAATAATATTGTACAACATTCAAATATTATTCAACTGGTTTCAACCTTCTGATGAGGTTTTTTTAATGAAAATACAGTACAATTTAGTGAAAATACAATTTGTTTTACATTCCGCTTTTCATCTCTGGCCAAAGTAGTTGTACATAAAAAATGGCCTTTCCTTCAGCTGAATCACAGCTTCATATGAGTAGTGTTTTGCTCTTTATCACCATCCCAGAAGCAGAAATTCCAAGCAATAGAACTCATGTAATGCAGATTCACTAAATGGGTCCCATACCATTCTCTAAGAACAACATTAAAATGGGATGCAAGCATAAAACATGCCAAACTTTACATCCTGTAAAATTTCTCATTCTGAAAAAAAAGGTCATACAGTTAGTATTGTAACTCAAGAGCCTTAGATAATAGGCACAATTAATTAATTACACTTGTTTCACACAACAATCAATAAAAATATGAATCATTATTTATGAATGAAACATCTTGGAGGCATTTTGGCCTACAAGTGAAACTTTAACAAAAGTATTTAAAGCAGCAGTCTACAGGTGAAAATGATACTCATACTGCCAAGAGTGAATTAATGAATCTTCCCGTGAACATAATTCTCTGATCAATAACACTGCATAAATATTTTTTAAATATTAATAAAAATTTAGTTTGGGATTATAATGTGTGAAAGTCTATGAAGTAGAACTAGTTTGAGCCCTTCAATAAATGCATTTTAAAAACCTCTTTCAAGGAACATATTTTTCATCCAGAAATAAAAATCTCATCATTCTTTGGATCTTTTGAAGCTCCGATGCTAGTAAGGCTCAGTGGGCCTTCAGATAAATCTGAAGTAGTTACAATCACTTTGAAAATTAATTCTCTAATACCCATTAAAATATATAAACATAAAACGATTCATCCCATCAGTCCCTCTTGAGGAATCTATCACACAGGAACAAAAGTATCAATATACATGAACGTATTGAACCATACATACTGAAGCAACATCTGAATGACAATATCTGTATGCCCATATTAGAGAAATGTGTACATACACTGTTGGGTCATATGTTATTGGAGCTTATGTATGTCTTAAAAATATTGATAGCAGTTAGGTATTTTAAAAAAGGGAGGGCCAGGGATTTAGCTCAGTGGCTCCACTGCCTGCCTCACAAGCACAAGGTCCCAAGTTTGATCCCTGGTACCAATAAATAAATAAATAAATAAATAAATAAATAAAGAGATCCTCTGTTATATTTTCAAACTTGGAGAACTCAACAAAAAAACATTCTCTGCAAGAAATGTAGTCTGTTTATTAAAGTTCATTAAATAGAGTTAAGTTGGGAGACAGCCTTTCAACAAGTCAGTCTATGTGTAAAACCAGTTTTCTTCGCCATAATTTCATCAAAGCCCATTTCATCTCATTGTTGCGCAAACTGTAGATAAGTGGATTCAGCAGAGGGGTAAGCAGTGTGTAAGCCAGTGACATCAGTTTCTTGGTCTCCGGTGAGTAGCTGGCTTTGGGTTGTAAATAAGTCACAC